ACAACCATCTCTCTGTGGTCAAGTTTAATACTGATGGCACTTAAATCTATGCTTCTCTAAGATGGATGTGCATTTTACGTCCACTCACTTCATTCTGTACACATGTAATTATAAATGTACAATAGAAATGTACTGTACATAAAAATGCATTTCAACGATGCATTTTTAATGCATTTAAAGCACTTGATGTCAGTATTAAATCAATGACTCTGTGTATTCATGGTACATGAAAATGTTGCTTGCCTGTACTTTTTTGTTTATTGTTATTTCTTCTGCATTCATGTGGTTGCTATACGTTGCTGTATCATTAGAGAATAAAGTCAGTTGTGAAAGTAGCAGTATGTATTTGTTTATTCTGACTGTTTATTCTAACTTTTATTCGACTTCATAAACTGCTAAATAACCCAAACTATTTTGTTACGCAGAATACGGGGCCTGGTTGCCACAAAACCATTAGTTTGTTTTTGTGTTATAGCGCCACCAAATGGCCAATCCCATCTACTTGTTCTATGTGTCCTCAGATTGATAGTTTGAAGAGTTTCACATGAATGGAATCTTATATTTTTATATTAATTATCATACACAATTATTTATGGATAAAAAGAGTGAGAAGTGTGAAGTATAAAAAGCAGAAATGCAACAGTTTGGCTTCAAAGGTCTTAACTGCACACTAAGTGCCCTTTTAAACTCAGGTGGTAAATTGGTATTATAATTTTACACTTCATCCTCGACCAAACCACACGTCTTGCCACTTACCACTATTATTCAACCACAGTTTTCCACATACGTTGGCATTGTTATAAGTCAAATAATAAATGATAGTTTTCTATCTATGATTTAATTACCTTGATAGTCATATAAACAAATGCAAAGAACCAGCCTGATTTATTGGTTATAAATAGAGTTATCTTAAAAAAATACATAACATAACTTATCTTGAAATAGCTTAAAAGAGTCAAACATATTTTCATTTATTTTTATTCAGCAGTAGCAAACCTTGCCCGATCAACATGATCTTAATAAATAGTTAATTCTGGCAAGGTTTATCTAAAGCAAGTGCATGGTCACTAAGTTCATTTAGAGAGATCTAACTTATGTGATAAGGATGTGACACAATTTGTTTGTCCTATATATATTAAAATGTCAGGGTGATGCAAATTTACTGACATCATAAAAAAGGAAAATTTCTTTCTTAAAATAATGAAGGTCTTCCACATTTGATTACCGATTGCTTTTAAATTCAACTCATCAGTTCTAAAATGTTCAAAAAACTCTAAATGTGAATTCAAAGGACATAGTGACAGACAATAAAACTGTAACATTCCTCAAGAAAATTCCTTCACATTTAACGCATTAAGATAAATATTACATTATAAAACACTAGTTAATCACTAATAAAATAATCTTCTTCGAATTCATAAGAAGACCAGTTCTACTAGCTGACAATCAGCGCAATTATGCTGAGTCTATTTGTCGGTTATGACACACTAGGTCTGCAGTTCAAACTTGATTTTGATCAATTGCATCTAGCAATAATGAACCAGTGGTAATTTGCAATTATTAGAAGCTATTTTTATCTAATATAATCCCCAGATTTAGTAACCTAAACTAAACTTTAGGGTTATATTATTTAACATCACTGAACTGAAGGTCCTAATGCATTTAGCTGGGTTCAGTGATGTTCATTTATTTAATGTTTATTTCTTATAGATGTACTTAGCATTATCCACTTTAATGATACTATACAGACTGGAAGGCATTAAATATCAAAAGCACCAGAGAAAGGGCTATTCATTGGCATTATCATAGAGTCTGAATGGGTTAAACATTAACAACAAATTCAATTTTGTTTTGAAAATTCAGTATTGTGCCATTTCTATTTACCAAATGTAACATTGTAAATTTGTGTGAGTGTGTCAGAGACAGGACTGAAATATCTCAACAAAATAATTCAGATAGAACAGATACCTGCTACCTGAGATTTCACTACTTTCCACTGGAAGTTTCATCACTTATAACAGGAAGTAAAAATAATCAACAATTATTTTTACTTAAGTAATGCAATACAACTTGATGACTTGTGTGCAACTCTATTTTTTATATATATCCTAAAGGCCTATATTTTATTTGATAACTTCACTTAAGGCCTGAAATCACCAATGAAATAGAAAATAATTTTTATAAACATGTATTAAGTCAAAGATGTCTTCTGAACAGTGATTTATAAAAATATCTAAAACAAGCTAAATTAACTTGAATTGAAAACAGCACTAAGACTTTTTTCAGAAGTTTTCAGAAAAATATCTTGAATTATTAAATTATTGAATTCAATTATTTCAATTCATTCATTTTAAAGTGGCTGAAAGTGACATGACATGTGGCCAAGTATGGTGTCCCATACTCGGGATCTGTGCTCTGCATTTAACCCATCCAAGTGCGAACTCACAGCAGTGAGTAGGGAACAAACACACAAACAGTGGGCAGCCATTTTTGCTGTGGCGCCTGGGGAGCAGTTGGGGGTTGGGTCTCTTGCTCAAGGGTCTCACCTCAGTCGTGGTGTTGAGGGTGGAAGAGAGCACTGGTCATTCATTTTTGTTAGTTATATATAAAAGATTAAAATGTTATACTGTTAAAGTTACAATATACTGTTCAAGAAAATGAATTGTTGCAGTGCAGAAAAAGGTCTTAAAAGAGGAACAGAACAGCCTTTTTAGAGTTGGCTACATAAAATATAAACATACATGTGGAATGTTTTAATGGAAATTAATTCTCCTACAAAAAAAAAAAAGCATTAACTTTAACCATTCTATGTATGGATGTACAGTCATGGCCCAAAGTTTTGGCAGTGACAAATTTTGTGTTTTGCAAAGTTTGCTGCTTCAGTATTTGTAGATTTTTCCACGTTTCTATGGTATACTGAAAAACAATGATAAGCATATCATAAGTTTTAAAGGCTTTTATTGGCAAAACAAAATATGAGTCAGGATTTACAGTGTTGACCCTTGTTCTTCATAACCTCTGCAATTCACTCTGGCATGCTGGATATTAACTTCTGGGCCAAATCCTGACTGATGAAGATCCATTCTTCCCTTATTAGTTCTCAGAGTTTATCACAATTTGTGGGCTTCTGCTTGTCCACTCACCTTTTGAGGACTGACCACAGGTTCTCTAGGATTGAGATCCGTGGAGTTGTCTGGCCATGGATCCAAAATTTCAATGTAATGATCTTCGAGGTCCAATCCTTGCACTTCCTGCAGAATTTCAGTCGGTCCTTGACATTTTTCTTGGAGAGAGGTGGCTTCTTTGCTGCCCTTCTTGACACCAGGCCGTTGTCCTAAAGTCTTGGCCTCACTGTGTGTGCAGATGCTCTCACACCAACCTGCTGCCATTCCTGAGCAAGCTCTGCACTGCTGGTGACACGATTCCGTAGCTGACTCCTCAGGAGGAGACGGTCCTGGCACTTTCTTCACTGCAGTCGAACCCCTCTCCTTGAAGTTCTTGATGATCCAGTAAATGGTTCTTTCAGGTGCAATATTCTTTGTAGCAATTTCCTTGCATGTGAGGCCATTTTGATGCAAAGCGATGATGGCTGCACGCGTTTCTTTGGAGTTAACCATTGCTAACAAGAACACAATGATTGGACACAATTTATAGCAATCAGTCTGCTCTTACAATCTAATTAGTATAATAGTGATTTGACTGACTAGTACTCATTCACACTTTCACATGTGCTGCTGATATGATTAGTCAATTAATGTTAGCTGGTCATTTTGTGTCAGGATCAAGAAACAGTGAAATTAGTTTTGTTGTGAAAAGTTCATTTTTTGGCCAATGAAGCTTTTAGCAATTATTTCAAATGCATCTGATCACTCTACACAATAATGTAGAAACAATGTGAATGAACACAACAGCTTAAGCAGCAAACTTTGCAAAACACAAAATTTATGTCACTGCCAAAACTTTTGGCAATGACTGTCACTGTATATATGTATTTAATTATTTATTTAACTTTTCACAGTTGACCAGAATGGTTCAGATTGCAAAGACAGTCTTTCTCTGCAAGCTGACTGGATGGTCACAGGCTTTTCTACACCGTGATGATGTCATCAGAGAGAATGAAGCAATCAAAGATGCTGACATGGTAAAAAGAGAAAGACAAGATGTTATACTGAATGTAATTACAACTTCTGTTTGTTGTAGGTGTAATGTAAACAGTTGTAAAATGGGCAATTCAGCTTTTAATAGTCCAGTTACCTGCTATTAGTCTCTACAGCTTTACTTCTCCCAGTTTGATAGGCAGTTACTATGGCATTTAATTGAAAGAAATATCATTTATTTTATTTTCAGGTAACAGATTTTACTCCACCAATGTGTCGTGTGGTAAATGAGAGTTCAGATTGTCTTTTGTCATGTGGAAATACAATCTTGGAAGTGATTTATATTATGTCAGATGGCGACGGTTCAGGAATTGATCACACCCAAATTTATTCCGTGGGTCCAAGTTTGAGCAACTTAACTCTATATGATGGTCTAGATGAAAATGGCTACAATGCAACCCTTTTGCATTATTCTGGCATCTGCTGCCTTGAAGATTTGGAAGTTTCTTCAGTGGACAAGGCAGGAAACAAGGGGAAGTGTCCTGTTGTTGTAAAACGTGTTACAACCACAGCCAATCATTTCAAGACAATACATGTTTAAGTACAGTTAAAGTACTTGACGTCAATACTAAGTTAATGATTTGGTGTATTGAATGGTACATGAAAATATAATTGCAAGGTTCATCTAAAGCAAGTGCATGGTAACTACATTTTTACACAGATTTTTTTTTTTTACTTATGTGATAACGATGTGACACATGGAAAGGTGATGCAAATTTCCTGATAAAAGCTGGATTTAAGATAAAAGATTTAAGAGTTTATTGGTTTATTAATTCCTTTTAAATTCAACCTATAAGTTCTAATATGTTCAAAAAGTTGCAAATATGAATGCAAAGGACAGGGTGACAAACAATAAAGTTTTAATGTTCCTCAGGACAATTTATATTCATAAGAAGACCCAGTTCTCCCTGTTGACCTGAAACAGCACAAATATGCTGACTATCTCTCAGTTTTGACACACTAGGTATGAAGATCAAACTCAATTTTGGTAAAAACTTACAAAATATATTAGAATTCCAATTCAGTCCACATGACATCCACTAAAGATCACGCTTTCAACAACAATTTAGTGGTGAGTTTATCACTGGGTTCTCTGAATTAATACTGTAATATGAACCTTAGAATGAGAATAAACTGACACATGAAACATAAACACGTCAAGTTGATCTGAAACATCCATAACATAGATTTTACATGCCTTTTATTTAATAGATTGGTAAAGAAAAAGAAAAAAACTTTTGAAAATTTTAATTAAATGATTTAGAGAAGTCTGGTGTTGAGATATTTGCTCAAAAATGATTGAATTATTCCAATGGTAGCCGTCACAGTTAGGAATAACAGGGCACACAGCACCAAATAAAACCCTGGCAACCTAGAAACAAAGGCAAGAATAGGCTGTAATGTGTTATGACTTAACTTTACAGAATATAATGTCATATAAAAATATATATAATAACTTGTTTTGATTATCACCTTTTCTTGCTTTCACGGATATAGCCAGTAAAGTACATCTCTCTGCCCACAATATACAGAAGTCCTCCAAGAGCAGCAAGCACTGTGAAAAGGGAAAAATTATCTTTTTATAAGCTATATAATGGTTCCTTGTTTTTATTTGTCCACCATAAATATTGTATTACTATATCATTGTTATAGATATAATTAGCCTATAGAAGTATACCATGTAACATACCTTCATTGCAAAAGATGCCAGAGATCCACAATACCACCAAGAAAATGGAATATGACTCTATGCTATTCTGGCTAAAGAAATAGTGGAAGGACAATTTTTTAAAAATATTTTATGACTTGTTTGTACAGGTTTATTCAAGTTAGGATCACCTGTGATAATTTGCCAATCATACTAGATTTTTTTTGACATTATATGATTTTTCATGAATGAAAAGATTGAGAAGTGTGTGAAGATCTTACTGTGCACGAAATGTCCTTTCAAACTCAGGTGGTCCAGTAACAGTGGGTGGCATAATTTTATGTTTCATCCTTGACCACCCCACTCGTCTTGCCTGAAACACTAAAGAAATTCAACCATTATTATTATAATTATGATTTAAAGTGTAGTATTACTTTGATAATCATATAAACATTTATAGAACTTTTTTGATTTGTGACTTATTAGCTGAGTTATCTTGAAATAGCTCACTATGGCCCTAGAATCAAACATTATTTTAGTAACCTTTGACCTGATCTGATTTACACAATGTACTGGTTTTGGCAGGGGTTATGAAAAACAAGAGGTCATTATGTTCTACAGAGATTTGTCATTGACTTAGTGTTAAGATAACAAATCTTTTCAACATTTTAAAATGTATCAAAATTATCAATTTATCAAATGCAACACATTAGTTTAATTCTGATTAAATCCTGATGCCTTAAAAACTTTTTACGTTCAACAAACTATTGTTGATTTTTGTTGTTAATTATATACATCAAATAGTTCTTTAAAAAAGGATAAATATATTAAAGAAACGCAGAAACTGATCAAAATAACCTATAATTTAACATCAAGGACTGATCTCTCCAAAGACCCATACAGGCTACTGTAGCAAATGTAAAAAAAATAAAAAAAAACCTTGCTGAATTTAAGAACGACCTTTATAAGATTTTAAGAGTCTTCGATTTTTTTAAGATTGAACAGTCCAGTTTACTGTAGAAGTGCAGTGACTGAACGCTTGTAATTTTTGATGGAGCAAAAGATGAGCTGCTTACCCAGGTGGAGAGCAGACAGTATCGACACTGCTGCGAGGAGAACTGGCAGATCCGAAGTCATATTTGTGGTGATATGGTCCGATACAACTCCTTTTTAGACAACGTCTCGCCACAAAGTTGTGAAATTAGGTCTGTACATCCGCTTATACTGCACCTTCTGTTTTGGAGATCAGGAAGTACCGGTCTAAAGTTTACACGGGGTGTAACATATCATACTACGCATATCGGATCGCCAGCTATACCACTGTTCCAGTCTAATAACAGTACGAGTTGGGAATGACAACGAATTGCATTTATGTCTCGTGTGCTTTTGAACTAATTAAGGCCCCACAGTACTTCGATTCAACTAAATTTACAAATTTACAAACAAAATTTTCAAGCAGTCGCTCCTTTTAAAGTGCCTCAACAATCTTTAGTCTTAATCTGATTCGTTCGAATCAGTTCGCACATCGACCTGTCAGATTCAATTTTGTTTGGGAGTAGACTAAACAGTTTTTTGTTTTTGGTAACATATTTATAAACAACAACTTATATGATAAACAACTTTTTTTTAGAAAGGGTCGTGGTGACATTGTCAGAGTGTTTTAGCAGGGTTTCGTCCACATCGGTTAAAAAAATTTACGTTTGACAAAGATTAACTGAATCGAAAGCCATGAAAATCATTCGGTTACGTTATTTTTTCTCGGGTTTCCGACCCTAGTTTTGAAGAAGACTCAAATCATTTTTAACTAGTTGATAGAAGCGAATCGTCCAAATGAACCGATTCGCTAAAATGATTCGAACTTTCCTACACTGGAGCACAGCGCTCTGGTGTACTTGTGTGTAACTGGAAATCTGTGATGGGCGTTCAGCGCTGATGATGTCAGACTGTGCGCCGGGAACTGTCATTTCTGCCCTGCTGAAGCTTCCGCGACAGGCATATACAGAAGCAAAATATTATCCCTCTAATAAACAACAGAGGAAGCGCAATCATGGACAGCGATGATGACAATATGGAAGAAGTGGTGGAAGGTACGACGAGCACATTCACAAACGTTGCGTGAATTTGTTTTTGTTGTCTTCTCGGGTGTCAGGCTGAACTGTTATGCAGTCTCATTCCGCCAAGGATTAGCCTACCGACAGCTTTCCTCAAGCTGTCAAGCACCAAAGCCTGTAAACTTGGGACTGTTTAAATCCTCCAGATGACAGCGAATGTTATTTCGGCTTTAGACTACAATTCTACAATCCTGTCTAAAGTCCCATTAACTGAGATAGACAGTATACAAACTGGAAGAATAAACGTAGTTAGACTAATTGATTTCTCTTGACAGATCTTTCATTTTATTACATTCTCTGACACTTTGTACTATATAATCTTTTTGGGAGTCTGTAAATATCCTATACAGGTGCATCTCAATAAATTAGAATGTCGTGGAAAAGTTCATTTATTTCAGTAATTCAACTCAAATTGTGAAACTCGTGTATTAAATAAATTCAGTGCACACAGACTGAAGTAGTTTAAGTCTTTGGTTCTTTTAATTGTGATGATTTTGGCTCACATTTAACAAAAACCCACCAATTCACTATCTCAACAAATTAGAATATGGTGACATGCCAATCAGCTAATCAACTCAAAACACCTGCAAAGGTTTCCTGAGCCTTCGAAATGGTCTCTCAGTTTGGTTCGCTAGGCTACACAATCATGGGGAAGACTGCTGATCTGACAGTTGTCCATAACATTTTATATTTAATTCTAAAATGGACTGGGAGCCAATTTAAAGAAACTAACACAGGGGTAATTGATTCATATTTCTTTACCTTTTTTAGTAACCTCGCCGCAGCATTTTGTACTGATTGTAGTCGAGACAAAGATGTGGCGGTGATGCCAGAATACAAAGAATTACAGAAATCCAGCCGTGATAGAATAAAGGCATGGATTACTCTTTCAGAGTCTGAGTTTGTTAAGAACGGTTTAACTTTGGCTAATAAACGCAAATTATAAAAACCAGCCCGAACCACTGAGTTAATTTGCTTATCTAATTTTAGGTTATTATCAATTAGGAAGCCTAAATCCCTTACTGTTTTTTTCAAATACGGTGCCAGAGTAGCCAGACTCAGTAGAAACTCACCAGACCTGAACCTTATTGTCAAGAGGAAAATGAGAAACAAGAGACCAAAAAATGCAGATGAGCTGAAGGCCACTGTCAAAGAAACTTGGGCTTCCATACCACCTCAACAGTGCCACAAACTGATCACCTCCATGCCACGCCGAATTGAGGCAGTAATTAAAGCAAAAGGAGCCCCTACCAAGTATTGAGTACATGTACAGTAAATGAACATACTTTCCAGAAGGCCAACAATTCACTAAAAATGTTTTTTTTTATTGGTCTTATGAAGTATTCTAATTTGTTGAGATGGTCAATTGGTGGGTTTTTGTTAAATGTGAGCCAAAATCATCACAATTAAAAGAACCAAAGACTTAAACTACTTCAGTCTGTGTGCATTGAATTTATTTAATACACGAGTTTCACAATTTGAGTTGAATTACTGAAATAAATTAACTTTTCCATGACATTCTAATTTATTGAGATGCACCTGTATATGTTAGATTTGTAATCGGAGTGTTGTTGAAGCCACGTGGTTAAAAAGTTGCAAGTTCAGCTTTAAAGCTTGATTCAAAACTGCAGATGCACGTAGTTCTCAGCTCTGGACTATCACCATTAAACCCAGAACCTCCATTAATTAGTGTACAACTATTACTTTGTATTAAAAGTTTTCGCTAAATGTCAAGTATCTAACTGAGCTGATTTTATCAACCTGGTCCATTAAAATTAGATTTATTGTTGGGTATCGAGTGCAATACTTATTCATCAGTATATTACTTGGCTTATCTCTGATTAGGACCACTGGATGAGGATGACCAGCCTCATGGCTTCTGCACTGTGACCTACTCCTCCAGCGACAGATTTGAGGGACACTTTGTTCATGGGGAGAAAAATGGAAAAGGAAAATTCTTCTTTTTTGATGGCAGGTTTGAGACTTTATGTTGGCACCATTGATAAGTCTATTATTGATTTCCAGAATATTAGTCACTGTTGATTAAACTCTGAGATTTCATCATTTAAATCATGACAACTCTTAAGACAGGGTTATCGTTTTATTCATATGAATGGATTGCAAGTAGGATTGGTCTTGTCGGACGAGATTTGCTACGCTGCTGCTACTGCTGACATTAGTGAAAGGTTACTGTTGAAACATGTTTAGAATTATAGGGATTAGGATACAAGTCAAGTCAAAGGCATTAGCATGACAGTGATGTGGTCTGAGGCACCGAGGTGGGGGAGGGGGAGGGCCTTGTAAGCTCCTCTCTGGGTGGTGTAAACAAAGTCTAGAATGTTGTTTCCCCGAGTTGGAAAGTCTATGTGTTGGTGTATTTTTGGGAACACACTCTTTAAGTCTGCGTGGTTGAAATCCCCAGCCAAGATGAGAAAAGCATCGGGGTGGGCTGTCTGCTGCTCACTGATGTGCTGGTACAGTTCATTTAGTGCCTCGCTCCTGTTGTTGTTGTTGGAGCTGGGAGGGATGTATACAGCAACGAGCAGTATGGCTACATGCTGTATACATGCTGTTGCAAGGTAAACTACAGAAAACCCCTGTAGCAGATCTAGACATGTGGTGCTGGGGAGGAGGAGGGATAATGAAAATTCCCACGGCCCACAGTACTGATCTGTACCAGGTCGAGATGGAAATAAATAAGACATAGATGGGAAAGTGAGATTGATTGACTGCGCTGCCATTTTAGGTGTACCAATCAGCTGCTCAGAAGAATTTTATGATGGAACTATGTATATAATTTAGAATAATATCACTGCACCATCGCCAGCAGTCGTAAATGTAATTAACTTGCTTATTTTCCTTCTCCCCAATTTATTTGCTTCTTTAGGGTCCTATTTTTTATACTCTTACATACTAAAAAGCTCATTTGGATTATTTTGATTATAGCAGATAAAGGTAATTATATTTCACCCAAATATCACCTGTTTTTTTTCCTTTATAGTACGCTGGAGGGTTTCTATGTGGATGATGCTTTGCAGGGCCAGGGCATTTATACTTACGAGGATGGGGGAGCATTACATGGGACTTATGTAGACGGCGAGCTCAATGGACCTGCTCAAGAGTTCAATCCAGAAGGTCAGCTGGTCTTCAGAGGCCAGTACAAGGACAACATTCACTATGGCATGTGCTGGATCTACTACCCGGTGTGTTTTGCCCAGCATCAAGCACTTTAAATCACAAGTTAAATTCTATCAACAGCAGTTTAATTATTGAACTTTAATCATGGACAGTCTATTGAAAAGTTCCAGGTTTATGTGTATGTAAGTTTTCTTTTTTTCTCTGCCATCTAAAGGATGGCGCCTGCGTGGTTGGGGAAGTGAATGAAGATGGAGAGATGACTGGAAAGTCTGTGGCTTATGTTTATCCTGATGGGCGTACGGCTCTGTATGGCTCCTTTGTTGATGGAGAACTGATTGAGGCCCGACTTGCCACTCTTACCACCCAAGAGAACGGCCGACCACACTTCACTGTTGATCCAGATAGTTAGTTTATGTTTAGATTTATTTTTCCGTTTTATTTACAAGACTTAATTTAAAGCAATTTAAAAGACCCAAATCTGATCAGTAAATGTTTCTTGCTATAAAACTTGTTCTAGGTTAATCTTTCTGTTTTTTTTAAATCTCTTGTCGGTCCTGTTTACTGCTACGATAAATCCACCTCGTCATGTATCGCTGGTCATAAACTGTTGCCTGACCCCTACGAAAGTCAACGGTTGGTGCAAGCTGTGATCCACCATGTAAACCTCAATCTATCAAATCTCGTTTTGAACAGAAAACGTATATTTGTTTTTTCCAGTGACAGATTGTCTTGTCATTACATTGGGGAGATTCTGTTGGTTCTCAAGGCTTAATACGGTATTTATCATGTCATCATTTTGTTGATTCAAGCTGAAAGGTGGTTTTCTTTATGTTTAACAGTGTGTATGTTGGACAGTCACTTATTTCCGGAGCTGGAGAAGGGCTATTTGCAAAAACTGAGGCTGAGGCTAACACAGTGATGGCTTTTTATAATGGTGTCCGCATTACACATACAGAGGTTTGTCTGTTTGCATTTTACATTATTCAAGGCCAGAATGTAATGCTTTTTTAATTTTTTAAGGATGCATGGTGTACTAAATTAGTTTTTTAAAATCTGTTTGTATTTAATTTAACAGGTGGACAGTCGTGACTGGTCCCTGAACGGGAACACTATTTCATTGGACGAGGACACTGTGATTGATGTTCCGGAACCTTTCAATCTGACGGAGAATTATTGTGCATCTCTAGGTCACAAGCCCAATCACTCCTTCACTCCCAATTGCAAATATGATCCGTGAGTGTGAATGTATAATTTAGAAATATACAGAGGCATAGTGCTTTTGTTTCATAGTACCATTTTGTTGGATATTTCAAAATAAACAAATCTTATTGTTGGACAATAATGGGTGCGAATTACACAGTGACCGGGGGGTCAGAGCACTGGCGGGGGTGGGTACATTAAGTAATTAATCACTTAATGTACCAATTAATCAAATTAATCTCAAATTAATGAGATTAATTAATTAACATTCACATCATGTGCCGATTAAAGATAAAGTTATTACTAAAGATAATAGTTATCATTGTGTTCATTTAGAAAAAAAAACACTGAATAGACATAACAGAAAAGTAGCTGAAATATAAGTAGCTTTAGATAGAAATATTTTAATTCAACATACAAAAATACAAATAAATAGTGAAATATAATTTTTTTTTAAAAGGTGCAATGTGTAATATTTACATCGATCTATTGACAGAAATGCAATATAACATACATAACTATGTTTTCAGAGGTGTATAAAGACCTTACTTAATGAACCGTTATGTTTTTATTACCTTAGATTGAGCAATTTATATCTACATACACCGCAGGTCCCCTTACATGGAAGTCGCCACCATGTTTCTACAGTAGCCCTAAACGGACAAACTGCTCTATACAGCGCGTTTCGTCACTTTGTTGTTCTTGCGAATAAAACACTGACACAATGATGAACAAGTACATTAATATTCGCAATAAAATCGATTTATTAAATAATTAAGTAAATATAATTCCTTAATTTACCTTTGTAAAGAAATCTCATTGCTCTCTGCTGTCTTTACCGACGACATCTTAGTCCTGTATCGGCCACCGTAGCTTCTCTAAAGGGAGGGGTGAGCGGGGGACTGAGCCGTTGGTTGCAATTCGCAACCTCACCGCTAGATGCCGTTAAAATTTACACACTGCACCTTTAAGTCAGTGAGTCATTCAATCATTCATTCAGTCGATTCGTTCAAACAGCTGATTCATTCAGAAACGAAGCAAGTGGCCGCCTTTATGAATGGTTCACTGAATCATTGATTCATTCGATTCGTTTAAAAACGTGGATTCATTAATTAAACACCGCTGTGTGTTGAGCAAAGACGCACAACAGTTCTCCTAGGGCTTTATTTTCATTAGTGAAATTACTGACAATATGTCTAAAACGTAATTATTCACACCGTTACCATATCTTCATTTTTAGTAAAAACTGTTATGTAACCTATTTTTGTATTTCTACCAGCCAATGATGATTCTGAAAGAAAACACGCAGTGTTTGTTATAGTAGCACATGCAGCTTTCACGCGCATCTGATGGACAGAACCGCACGCTTATTTCAGCCAGCTGTGCTGTTAATGTTATTGTTATTTTAGCAAATAGTTTGCTCCATAAATTCAGTTCAACACCATTAAGTTGAAGAGGGTAACATTTATCACTCGACTGAATCTACACATGCATTTTAGGTGTTCTTGCTCCGTCCAAGCAATAAATGCATGTCTTTGAATGAGCGCTGTAGCGTATTCTTCAACCACTCAGGTACTGTCAATACGACCCATTTCAGGGGCTGCCAAAATGATATTTTAAAATCAGCCAGGTCTATAGAAATGCATATTAATATTTACAAGTAAATCTCCATATAATGCGTATTAATATTTACAAGTAAATCTCCATATTGCGCGTAGGCTAGTCTTTCTATCTGACACCCCCTACATCTAGTTTTGACGTCCATCAGGGGGGGAGCAAGCCT